TGGCGCTCATTTGATTGCATCATCTTGTTGCACCCTCTTCTTATGCAATGACGTAATGGTGCCCAACAAGAGAATTACCACCACCAGCTGTTTATCTCAATTTACCCATCACCCATATTCTCATAACAGAAGTGGATGGAAACATGCATTTATACACATTTTCTTCTGCTGGCTTTCTGGAAATGTGGTTAAAATTTGCTCTACATTTGGGTTCAAGCACGGTTAAAGTCTGTGAACCTAAAACTGCTGGTGAATTTCAGAGCCAACAATGTGTGTGAAATTCAAACAAAAACTAAATCAAAGATTGCAATCAAGCAACAGCTCATTAAAATGCAATTCAAGAATGGCAAATCTGCAAATGCTTTGAATTTGATCTGAGTGATAATTTATAGTGTTCTGTAACCCACAGAACAAAACCTTCCTCTTACATTAACCAACAGTTTAACACAAGCAGAAGCCACCTGTTTTGACAAGATGAACAGAAGCTGTTTTTTCAGGACGCAAACCTGTGATAGATAATCATCTCTGGGTCCCGCCATCACTACTCCCAGCCCCCGATACCCTCACCACCACCATCTGCTACGGGGGTAGGGCTGTCTGTTTCCATGGTAACTCTGTACCCCTCCTCCCTTATAAGCACTGAGGTTTCTTTTGTGTGTGTCCCATGTGCAGTCTGTTTCAACTGTACCCGGTCCATGCTACTGAGGGTTGCTGGTGTTGACTGACAGACAGAAGGGGTTTTCGTAATAGGATCCAACCCGTAGACACGTTTTTGTCTATTTAGTGAAACAAAGATGGTATTACAGATGCATTAGATGCTTTTGGGAATTATAGCACTGGAGAGACAACTGTATAGGTATAAAAAACATACTAGCAGCCTAACAGTTGAGAATATCAGTCCCCTTCCCCCATGCAAAAGAAGGTGACCTTGCAAATTAAGCCAACCCACCCCCTTTTACCCCTTGCCTAGTCACTCTGTCCCTCTCTGCAGATTATCCCAGAAGTGGGGTGATAGGCAGAAATAGGAAGGAAGGGCAAGCAGTAAAGCAGCAAGGAAGGGGCAGTAAACCAGACAGAAAAATTAAATGACTGCACAGAAGAATGTTTTCAATCCCCTCCCACCACAAAGCCCCTATTTCAAAATGCAGCAAACTTTCTATATATATTACAGTACATATTATACACTGAGGACTGATGGTGTTTGGAGCACACTATAAATGTCAGACTTTTCAGTTGTTCTTGGCTTTAAAAATACAGACGTCCTAAGTTTTATTATTTTTTCATAAGCAATTTGTGGTCATAGTAATTACACAGACTTTCCTTTTCAGAAACACCTCTGGATATATGGGACTGCGGGTGTGAAATACAGCACCACAAGATGCAGAATGTTGAGTATTTTAGACCTGTAAGCACATGTTATTGTCCATACTGTTGTGATATAGTGCATTATATGTGATCATATACCAAAACTTGTCAATCAATGACAGCAAGTGCAATCCTTGTGTATCTGTGTTGGATTAAGTTTTGGGGTTAAACTGAGTCTGAGTCGAGGAAGAACCGTATTAGGCACTATTTGGGATACACAGACTCCTAAACAACACACAGATGGAAAGCATTAGTCTTTCTGGCAGGAAACTCAACTTCTCTGTACTGTGAATTAAAATGTAACAATGCGGGCTAGGTTCACTGCTGAACTTAATTACTCTGCGTCCTGTGAATAATTGCCAGAAACCTTACAGGTGCAGGTACGTTTGCTACCTGAACTTTAACTTTGTCTTTCTGAGAAAGGATTGCAGTATGGAGGGTTGAAGAAAGAAACTGTAGAGAATAAAAAGATAGTCACAATGAGTAGACAAATTAAAACTAGGAGAAAAAGTTTCACAGCTGACAGCTAGGTTGCAGAAGGATGGAATTCCCCTTTGTCCCACAGCGAAGACACGACTGGTCATTTTTCTAAAGTCATCTTGGATGGTTGCCAGGTTAACCTTGTACTAATGCCAGTAAAATAATAAAATGTGTAGCACCCTTGTCCATTTTCCTGGATGTGTTGGCAAGGAGACTGCCTCAAGAATGCAAGTTAAAAGATTAAAACCAGCAAAAGCATGCAAGCATTTCTTCTAACTCAAAGACCCTAACATGACTATAGCTTAGCATGTGTTTGCCTGTGTGCTTCTTCTACTCTGCAAAGCTGGTGTTAATATATAGAGAAAGAAAATCCTGTTAGATTTGTAACATGGTGATGAATAAGCACATTGTCTCCCGTGAAGGATAGTTGAGGAAGCACAGCTGTAAGAACAGGGCTGTAGAGTGAGCCATATTTTTTACATCTTCATGGAAGCATTTCAACTCCTTCTGCTGACAAAGGAGAAGATCACTTCTGCTTGAAGGGGAACCTTATGGTTTTACTAATAGAACTTGCACAAGCATTCAGGCACAAAACCAGTTGTAGGCTTTCATAAAAAGTGTGTGTGTGTGTGTGTGTGTGTGTGTGTGTTTATCTGTGTGTGTGTGTGTGTGTGTGTGTCTGTGTCTGTGTCTTTGACTGTCTGTGGCAGGAAAGCAAACATCACAAGGGGATGATTCACTGTGGGTCACGTTCTGAAGCAAACAAGAGGTCAACTCTTGTGCAAAGCCCTTTCACCTCCCTGAAGATGTTGCAACATCATATCTGTGGGGCTATTACCATGAAGGAAAACATGTCAGTTAATAAGCAGTCACAAAGAGCAGACGGATAAGACATATATGTTGCAGTAAAACAGGAACCGAACTAGCATAGAGAAGTAAAGAGTAAAGGCAGTGACAAACGAGTAGTGTTAGACAATATCCATGTCAATGTGGGTGAATCATAAAATGCTATTTATGTTTTTAAAAACTTTGACGCCCACACTGGAACACCACAACAATGGATGGATGGTTATGTCTCCTCTATTGGGCAATCACAGGCCACTTGAGCAAGCGGGCCAAGACAGATTGTACAGCATACATCAGTATTTACACAAAGATAAGTTTTTCCATCAACACTGAAGAGCTGTTTTGAAATATTTCTATGCTGGAGCGTGTTTCTGAAAAAGGTTTTTGGTTGTGTCAGATTAGTGTGGATGGAAGATGGAGAAAAAACAAACATGTTTGTGCAGTGGTTTTATTTTAACCCCTCCAACTCTCTGGATGCAAACTGCGTCTGTATATATTTGTCATAAAATCTATCCTAACATGTGCAGCACCACTCCCATTTGTGGCACTTCTGAGTGGCCACTCCTGTCCTGAAAATGACAACTGTGGTATTGACTATAGACCATGAAGGAACTGAAAACAGCCTTGGGGCTATTACAGCAGGTCACAGATATTAACAATGTTGTCCTTTATAAATACAGACATGGTAAATTTGTGGTGTTCATAAGCGATTGAATTCTGGGTAAACCATTTATTTTCATCTTTTTATTATAATTGTAAACATGCATGCTCAAAATCCCAATCAGAGTAAGTTAATATTAAGAATAATCAAAGATTAATACACAAAAATACACACAAATGTATTCTCTGTTAGCTACAAGAGAGGCAACTTCAGCTCATGGTCTGCAGATACCACGAGGCTGGGCTGTCTCCAGATTATCTGTCTCTGTCATTTGGACTGTGGTTTACCAGGGCACCCCACATTGCACCCTATGAATAAAAGCATGCTTGTGGTTCACAATAGAGCTTCGCTGCTCCCTAAGAAGGGGGAAGGGCATTGCATTCCTCCACTGACCTCCTGTTTGCAGCAGATATTAAACAATAACTGCGTTCCAATAATGGGCTTTCTCCAGCTGCGGACAGATATCAAAAAAAAAAAAAAAAAAAGATGAGACAAAGCACAGCAGTCCCTGCTCTTCGCAGTCTGCAACAAGCAATATGTGGAAGAAGAGTAGCTCTTGCTTTGTCTGCGATTTTGTTTGGAGAGGTGGGTAAGCAACGAAGACTGGCATTTCAGGAGATCCGGGCAGAACAATGTGATCATTCAAGTTGAGTGACTACCACAGGAGACAGACGCTGACTGGATGCCTGCAATATTTGATCTGGGTAACTGCACATACCTCATTTAGTCACTCCTCTATTGGGAAAGTGCAGTGTAAGGCTACTGGAAATTCAACTGCTTAAAGGACATCTCACCTTTGATTGAGTGCAGGGCTAATACCAGACTGTGGATGGTAGATATTTGAGGAGGTCCACTTAGTGCCAAGTTCAGACAACTGATTCATGACACTGCTGCTTCAGACCTCGTCTAAAAACCCTAATGTGGTACATAAATCCTAGATTAAAACAGAGTTCACTGTACTTTGTCTTCTGGTAATGAACATTATTAAGTGTGGGGTGTAGCTTCAAAGAGAGATGTTAAGGGGGGGGAAGGCACTTGCGACTCTTCCAAAGAAAGTGTGACATGGAGGAAGTGGCCTCATGATGGCAACAACTTCCGAACATCTGCATCAGCAGGAAGAGGTGGTCTCACTCATCAGTTGGCTGCATGTTGTTCCAGAGCCCCAACCGAAGCAAAGGTTACGCCAGTCAACAGACCACAATTACTGTTTGTTGACTAATGTCTGCTGCCCTAAGCAATGTGGGCCGATGACACATGTGCAGGTTGCGACATGAAGCACCATAAGGGTTCTGTGGGTGACAATTCAATTACTATAAAGTTGTGTTTTTTAAAAGGAGCCTACTAAACCACACTGTCTTTGTATTTCCAGCAACGTCTATGCATTTTTCCACTGAAGACAAGAGTGTATTCTTTTCCTTTGGAGTCAGTCTTGTGTCACAGCTTGCGGTGGCTCTGAGTTATTCTCAGGCTTGTGGGTCCAGGGTGAAGTTTTTCAGCCGAAAGACGAAGCAAGGATTGCATCAGGAATGCTGGCAGTTGATCGTTTTCCTCCACTCTGCTCAGACGGGGGGGGGGTGCCCGGCTGAAACTGGGAGGAGAAAGAGGGGAGGGGATAGGAGGAGGAGGAGGAGGAAGGAGGGGATTTGGGAATAGTCTTTGTCCTCACCCCGCAGTACAGCACACCACTGGAGAAGCACACGGGGCTCCTCGCAGGAAAGAAAAACTGGATGGCTTGATAATAAGAAACGGGAGGGCTTTCTTTTAATAACGAGGCAACGAAGGAAGAGCTCTTGGAACAACTTTGAGGACCTTAAATCACAACTGAAGGTAACACCCCCCCCCAAACAAATCGTGGCAACGCAGCATCACCACGTAGCTTTTTTTTTTTTAAGCGTTGGCTAACAATGGTGCTTTATTGGCTCAACTTAAAGCTCAGTCTTTAACTTTTGCGTATGCTGAAACGGTGAGGTGGTGGTTTTAAAAGCCGCTAATGGCAGAAGCAGGGCTCGGGTCATTTTATTGCTCAGTACGGGTTAACTTTAAGTTTACGCGCACAGGCTGGCAGCATTCAGCGCTAATTAAAGCGTCACAATTGGTCGCATTATGTGGGCTCGGGCGTAATTTCACTGCGTGTTGGCGCAAATGTGTTGTGTCAGTCCCACCACATGTCTGTTATCATTCTGCTGGCGTGCTGCACATTTTGGTGGATTTTTTTCTCTCGGTGTCTGGGTTTGGTGATGGAGGAACGCGCAGGAATCCTATCGTGTTGTTTTCTACCCCTTCAGTTGCCCCCCCCACCCGTCCATAAACCCGTATGTTATGTAGAACAACCATATTAATAAAGTATTATCTCCCCGTAGTGGCTTTATCCAAACCGTGTGGCGCAATCGTTTTCTCCGTTAGAGTAATTCTCCATCGATTTTGTGTCTGTGGACGCGCGTGTAGCACCGCGGTGACGTTGTCCCGTTAGGCACGAGGAGGATTTCCCCCCCTTGCTCCTCGTGCAAAGTGGATTAGTTTTCTATTTCACAGATTCGGGGTTATCCAGGGTGCTTTAACGGAACCAGGCCCGAATTATATTTCCTACATTTATTATTTTTTCACTCAGACTCGATAACTTGTTTCCAGTTTTTATGGCATCATGACTCAACGGGGATACAAAGGGCGGATGACTTGGCCTAATTTGGTGCCCAGTTTTATCCATCACCGTTAAGTGGTAGTGAGTCTCATCAGTTTGACTCATATTCTGGTTATTTCTGGCCCTTTCCTCCCCGAGCTCAGGGCCTCCTTAGCGTTAAGGCTCTGGGATATAGGGGTGGATAACCATAACTAGCCTCCCAGATGTGAGAGCCACAAAAGCCCCTCTGTTCTGCAGAGCTCTGCCAGTGTGGAGGCTCTGCTGTTTTACTCTGCTCCTTTACTTCGAAGCAGGCTGTTTTTCTTTGAAGTGCCACAGATATCTAGGCCGAGGCTGTCTCAGTATGAACATGAAATTGACATACTATGTGATGTATAAAGACTTCTCTTATGAGCAGGGTGCAAAATTAACTTGACTGTTAAATTGGCCAGGCCGATATCAACTTACTGCAGCCATACTGGCACTGGGGTAGCCTATATTTTGGGGTAGTAAAGTAAAAGTACATGTAAGCCTATTTGTACAATTTTTATAACCAAAGAGATTATTAAAAATTATCAACAATGAAAATGCTATATCAATATTGGTATCCATCTCAAAATATCAGCATAGGTTATGTTAGTAGAAGCTTATAGAAAAGCTTAAGTTGTTGCTCTCAATGTTAAGTATTTGAAATTATGTTTTAAATAGCATCTAGCATTCAGACTACTGCATGAGTAACATTTCCTCACCTTGTTTAGTGGACCCACTAACAAAACCTAGACCAAACACAGTATATAAACGCACACTCAAACACACAAATAAAAGCTGCTGCTTATATGAGTCATACACTCATTGATGAAATATGAGCTAGCCATGTGTGTTACATACAGATTTTGTCGTGCTGTGGGTGTTTTAATATTGGAAAAACACTGCAGTTCTTCTGTGACAGTTCAGGTTTCAACACTTTGTTTGCATTGTCAGCAAGAAAAGTAGCAGGTTGCTACCAGGAGCATTGAGACAGAATGGAAACACATACATGGCAAATCCAACCATGTGTCAGTCTTAAAACACATTGCTTGAGTATTGAGATGAATACAGTGTGTTGTTTTTCAGATTTCAGTTTTTCCAGTGTGTCTGATTAGCTTAGCTTATCTGCAAACACAATTGCAAACACTTGTATGTGAGGCAGTAGTTTTTCTTGGGGCATGTAGGTCAGCTCTGATAGTAGCCAGAGGCAAATCCTAACTGCTAACCTAGATTTCAAGCAGCACTGTATGCTGCCGTCTTCTGTCTCTGGCAGCTCGACAGCACAGCAATGTAGCTTACAGTTTAGGTAACTGATACAGGCGGCCACTGGACACAGCCAACGCAAGACTCTATGGTAGCTCACAAACATCTGTACAAAACCTCTGTATAGTCGTTGAGGTGGTGGTGCTGCATATCCTTCTGCTGGCATTTTCTATTTGAAACCACATACTTCCGCTCAGTAGGTGTTGTCTTGATGTGGGACTTTAAATTGACACAACGTGCTGTCATTGTCGTGCCATTCAGGTGTAACAGCAGGATGCAGGAGTGTGCAAGACGCACTGCAGAGAAAGCCACAGATGAAGAATAATGACAACGACAGTCACTTTGAGCAGGTGGTAAACCAAATTTGATTTGAATCGAAAAAAACAAAACTGGTAACTTAAAGGTAACACGAGTGGAGACAGAAATTTGTTTCACTGCATGCTGACGTTACTGGTGAAGACAGAAGGACAATCCATATAATAGCAGACCTTCTCAAACAGCGCTGTGTGTGTGTGTGTGTGTGTGTGTGTGTGTGTGTGACAGGTAAACACAGATTACAAGCAGAATGTGAACTCTTAAAACACCGCAGACTAAAAATCAATGATCACTTCAAAGGATCTGATAGATCAGCCACTGGATCAATCATGAATGCGAGTTCTTATTTAAGTCTCTGTTAAAGTTAATCATTCCTGAGATTGTTCTTAGAGTTGCAACAGCACAATGGGACACTTGTGTTGCTTTTATTAAAACTCTTGGACTCTATGGACAGTTGCATCCACATTTAACATCAAAGGACACGCTCATACAGTGCTCCCATTCACACCATGGGAGTTGCTCAATACAAACTCTTCTGTTGGAGTACTTCTGGGTGTGGTGTATCATCTTAAAAGGCTTGTCAGTGCTAATGTTTTTATGAATTGTTGGACAGTGCACTGTCACTTTTCCCTTATTTGGTTGAGCCATTTTCAGTTCCTGTCCAGTTCAAGCTCATTGCAGATTTGGAATGTAAATAGTCTGATCCGTCATTGACTCATTTCAGTGACAAAAACAGCCTACTTTAGTTCAGGTTATCTGCCATCACATTTGGAAAAGGTAATGGCACTGCCACCACTGTATATACATAGACACAGTCCAGTGGTCATGTAGGTTTACATGGAATAATGTATAGTCTTCTAAATATTTCTAAACTAGAACTAAAAAGGAACACTGTAAATATAACTTAGTTAAAGAAGCTGGCCTCCTCCAGCACTTCTATGCTTATGGAGTTTGTATATCTTAAAGTTGCTTGTCCTGTTGGTGAGTTTATTGGGTTTTGTGTCAATATTAGTGATTGTTTTCCTTTCCAAGTAAATATTTTAGCAAATTAAAGCTTAAAACACAATTTAGTTTAAACATACTAGATTTAGGTTTGAGTGGATGATCTATATCATTACAGTTTTTCTGTAGCCCCTAACCTTTGTGTGACTGTGGAGTCTATTTAGTAAATAAAGCTTTGTTACTTTAGGTTTTAGGTTCCCCTTTTCTTACCCGAGGCACTGACCAGGCAGAAACAGTCAGAGATTAAAAGATAGTACGACACTACTAAGAACACATGTCACATCGTGCACCAGGGAGGGCCAAGAATTCCTGAACTCATCATTGGCTACTTGATACCTGCTTAATCTGGTGGTAATCTGTTCTATCTGCCGCTGTAGAGGGGGAATCTGCAAATTCCAAGACTAGTGATTTCATGCAATCACTGGTTTTTAACCCTAATAAAGCAGCCAAAAGTCAATTTTGAACAGGCCTGAAAGCAAGATAAGTAATGAAATGGGTCTAAAGGTGAGAAGTCTTACAAGTCAAAATAAACACTCCTATCGTAGCTTACCTACTTGGTACAAGCCTGTTGGTTTATAGCAGCGGATAATTACTCAACAGAAGTTTGTTATGAGGTTGGTCGCAGCTGGTGTGAAACCACAGGAGTTCTTCATTGCCTCTTTTTAGGGTTTTCACTATTCACTCTTTACTCTGCTTCGGCAATCTCTGTCAGATTATTTAACCACTACTTCCAGTAATTGAAGGTGACACAGGTTTTCCGTATATTTAAATGGTTACGGTGAGAATAGAATGATCATATACAGTTGAAGGGATACTGTGGCATTAAACACTTGGTGGATGATGGAAAGACAGCCTTAAGTTCCATAGGATCGTATCTCATACAGTGCCAATCACTAGTCCCCGGCAAAAGAAGAGCAAAGGCTAGGAAATATTGCAATTTTGAAATGGTGGGGAAAGTGTGGTAATCCCGGTTAAGGTCACTGGTTTATAAATTATGGAATACAAGTCAGGATGTTTGCTGGTGCTTACAGACGGTCCAGTTTCTCTCACAACACCAGATCTCATGACATTTACATTTTGTCAGTGTGATATTCCTCAAGCACCCCGGTTGCTTTCTTGAAAGAACATCACTTCCTTTTAGTCTTTACACAGTAGTAGTCCGGTTGTGTCTGCGTGATTTGGTGATAGCATCTACGGAGACCCTCTCAGGGATCTCTGCCTGAGCATGCCTTTGTCATTCATGGCTTCAAGGGTTGTTTTGGGACGTCTCAGCTTTGTAACAGTGACACAACTGCTCCACCATGTGGCTATCTAGTGCAATAACAGGGTGTCCAGACAAGCAATTATAAAATGTGTACAAAATTAATACAAAACTAGGATTATAAGGAAAATTATAGCATATCATTTATTTTATAATATGTAAATGTAATGTTAAAGTTTACTGTTAAATTAAAAATGTTTCCTCTCAATTCTATATTTGTGAATTACTGCACTTTTTTTGGGGTATATTGTTTGTGACAGTGTTTTGTTATTGAGACTTAATGTTCCCATTAACTACTAAATCTTACCTTTCACATTTAAAATGATATATCTGAATATAATATAAATAACATTTTTGTCCCTCTTTTCTCTGCACAGGTTTGAAAGGTTCCCTCCTGTCCCAGAATCAAAATGAGCTGGAGTTTCCTTACACGTCTGTTGGACGAGATTTCCAACCACTCCACCTTTGTGGGCAAAATCTGGCTCACCCTCCTCATTGTGTTTCGCATCGTGCTGACAGCTGTCGGGGGCGAGTCTATCTACTATGATGAACAGAGTAAATTTGTATGTAATACGGGGCAGCCTGGTTGTGAAAATGTGTGCTATGATGCCTTTGCGCCACTATCGCACATTCGCTTCTGGGTGTTTCAGGTGATTATGATCACCACCCCCACCATCCTGTACCTTGGCTTCGCTATGCATAAGATCGCCCGCATGGAGGACGATGACTATCGGCCCCGGGGCAGGAAAAGGATGCCGATAGTGAACCGCGGTGCCAACCGCGACTACGAGGAAGCAGAGGATAATGGGGTGGATGACCCCCTGATCCTGGAAGAGATCGAGCCAGAAAAGGAAAAGGATGTCGTGGAGAAACCTAGCAAAAAGCATGATGGACGCCGTCGCATCAAGCGCGATGGTCTGATGAAGGTGTACGTGTTTCAGCTACTATCGCGTGCAATATTTGAGGCCGCGTTCTTGTTTGGACAGTATGTCCTTTATGGGCTGGAAGTGGTACCGTCATATGTATGCACGCGCTCTCCTTGCCCGCACACAGTGGATTGCTTCGTCTCCCGTCCCACAGAGAAAACAATCTTCCTGCTCATCATGTATGCCGTCAGCGCTTTGTGTCTGCTCTTCACCCTGCTGGAGATCCTTCACCTTGGCATCAGCGGTATTCGGGACTGCTTTTGCGCACCACGGCCTCAGCCTCCCACCCCCCGTCACCCAGCTTTGGCCAGCCAGAGGTCTTCCATCTGCCGCCAGCCCTCTGCACCTCCAGGCTACCACACGGCTCTGAAAAAGGACCCATCAGGAAAAATGGGCTTCAGGGATAACCTGGGAGATTCTGGTCGAGAGTCGTTCGGGGACGAGGCTTCATCACGAGAGCTGGAGAGGCTGCGTAGACACCTAAAACTGGCCCAGCAGCATCTGGATATGGCTTACCAGAATGGTGAGAGCAGCCCGTCACGCAGCAGCAGCCCAGAGTCCAACGGCACTGCAGTTGAGCAGAACAGACTAAACTTTGCCCAGGAGAAGCAGAGCAGTACGTGTGAGAAAGGTGAGGCCTCCTTTCAAAAGTTTGTATTTTGATTTTGATCTTTTTGTAAATCAATTCAAAATGATATACTGACAATGGCACCGTCTCTTTGTTCACAGGTCTCCGTGCATAGGTTTTCATCAGCCCAGCTGACACTACAGACTTAAACTCACATCAGGATCAGTGAGAGGACAAAAGGGAATCAAAGTGAGAGTGAGTGTGTGCGTGACATGAATTTGCTTGAGGTGGATGAAGTCAGCCCAAGCCTTCCAGTGTTATGGTCAGTCGTGGCCGAGCATCAAGTCGAACAAGGAGGAGACTGGTTGTCTCAACCTAGCAATACTTGAGACACTAGCCTGTCTGAAGATCCAAAGTGCTTACAAACTACCGTTGTGCAGCAGAACGGTTATGGTTAACATGTACTTCTCCCTCAGGGCAGCTATTGTGTTTTTGATATTTTTATTACGGGACTTAGAGCTATTAGTCATTTTTAAAAGTTTGTCCTCTGTTGGAAGTTCAGCGAGTGCATCTCAAGTTTGCCTTAGACCTAAACTGGAACTCTGTTTTATATCATTTTGATAAAGTAAGGCCAAGCCAGATGTAGTGCGAAAAACATGGTTAAACTGTAAGAATCATTTTCTTTGTGAGGAAGTGAATCATTGAGTGAGTGCTTGTAGATGCAAACAAAAGTTCAACAGACAAGGCACCACTCATAAAAGAAAGGTACTGGAGTTATTGTTATGCTGATGAAGACTCTTTAAGGTGTTAATTTTCATACAAAGGTTTCTTCCAATTGTCTTGACAATGTTGGCACTGCACCAGTCAACATTCCCAAGCATGGTGCCTCAATGGTAACTGGAAAACACTTGGGGTGCCTTTGTCCAAAGGAATAAACAAACCTGGGTAATGCTTGAAAAAACATGTTACTCTTGATATTGTCTTGTATTGTTTAAACGTTTAAACGTGTTTTTGATACTGTTCTTTATTTTTGTATTAGTTTTGAGTATTGTGATATTGAAAAGAGGCTCTGTCACTGTGGCTTATTTTAACTTTAAAAGAATGACATTCACTGCTGTCTTAGCTCCCCGAAGCCTGATTCAATACATGGACTGACACATTCTGAAAATGGCTTGGTACAATTTGAGTTCAAGTGCAACAGTTTTTTTTTATTCTTTTTTTTAAATGACATTTTTGAAACACTCAGCCTACAGCTTAGTTTATCTACACATCTTTGACCAGCAAACGCTTCCCCTTTCCTGTATGGACCTAAATTCAATTGTATCTGTTGGTTAAATAAGAGATAATCTTGTCTGTCATGTTCCATGTCTGAAAGTGCTGATTTTTGGATTGGTGTTATCACTGCTCCAGAGTCATTAATGAGGGTTGTAAACCATGTAATCATTTCAATGTGAATTCAATGCCTTGAATGCGCTCTACTAAGATGCCATCTTTTGTATTCTGAAACATACCCACAGTGCCATTTGTGCCAACTCAAATATTGTCATCTCAAGTTATTTTTGAGCAATACTTTTTGTACTTTTTATACGTTTTGTATTGATAGTACTGTGTGGTTAGATTTTAAAATAAAATTTTTACAACAAATGTCCAGTGGTTTCAGTCTGCTTAAATGACTTGCTTTAAATGGCAAACTTGTACTCAAATAGTTATTCTGTTCAAATGTTTAAGCGAGTGCAACATCACATGTAGTGGGCATAGTCAGATAATGTCTAATTACCATTTATTTTATAGATATGCATAGAGAAATTATTGTATATGTTGTACAAGTGAATGTCTTCATTTAGATTAGGCAGAGTATTTCTTTAATAACCCCTAGCCTTACTTAAAGAGGCTGATGCTGGATCAGTTAACATCTAATCTTAGGTGCGTTTTGACACTTACTCAGCTGAGCTGGTAATAATAAAAGATTTAAAGGGCAACTGGGTAAATTGAACAAAGCATAGGTTCAGCCAAACTGCAGTTGATCTGGACAAATGATCATTGATTGCACTTGAGCACCAGCACTCAATGCCGAGGGAATATTCAGAAATGGCACTAAAACTATGAGGGTAGGTGGACTTTTGTATCAGCTTGTACTTTAATACAAAGTACATCGTGTATACAATAAATCACTTAATCTATTTCATTATCAATAATATGTAAAATATACATATAATGTAGGCAAGGGAACTGACAAACTTAGACGTTCTCCTTGCAGGCATTGGACTTGTGGTGGTGCATTAGTTAATAAATGTTTACTATGAAGTGACCACGCCAGTTTGTCAGATAACCAGTAACCCTTTTCTTGACATTAAACATGAATTAAAGCATATGTCTTTCAAATGTAATTAGGAAAGATTACATTAGTCTGACTATATAATAGTGTTTCCTTCATTGGATCATCAATGGAGATTTTGTTCCAGGCATCACACCATAAACCACAGCTAAAGTAATGACTGAGCTGCAGCCCCCAAAATGTGCAACCCAAAATTCTATTCAGGATTAAGTAATAGAACATACATGATTATTGAGTAACATAACGGATGGCTGACTTATGCAAGTCTGTATTTCATGAAATTTGCAATGTCTTGTGTAGTGTAGATGAATATCTAACAGCACTTCTCATTGCAGAAATAAAAGTGTTTAAACAACTATCTGACAATGTCTGTCATAAAGTCTGAACCCTTCGTGCTGCAGTCTGTGGACATGGATGTGAGAAAGATCTGTTATATGGATGCATTTGAGTCATAAAATATTTCACTGGATTAGGTTATTAGACATAGGTTTGTGATACTTAAGCAAAGTGGAAGCTATGTCACCGGTGTGAGTGTATGCCTGCTGCCTGCAATGAAGGTCTTAAGTATTTGATATCCAACTTTATTAACATGCAGGAAATGTTATAAAATAGCGTTTATGAATATGATTCTGAGATATTCACTGAGACAGTTCAGTGAATGTTGGACTTCCATTACAACTCTACAAATTTGCAATTAGAATTTCCTCTTCATGTTTATAGCTTAAACATCTCTTTCCTGGAATCTTTTCTTGTCTTAAAGAAGAAATATGATGAACAAATAGCTCCAAACACTGCAACAATCATTAGAGCAAATGTGGTGTTAAGTCCGGTCGCAGCATCACTGGTAGAGAGATTCATACCAAGGAAGCTCACAGTGTTGTCAGAGGGAAGGGGCGTCACCGGCGCACTCGTTCCTACAGAAAAGACACGCAGGTTAAACCAACATTATGTAACTTTTCTACCTTAAAATAACAGCTTCAAAATCATCATGTCTTGTGTTGTGGCGCTAGCTTGATGTTCGGCTGTGTTTAAAATGTTGTTGATTTGCTAGTTTTTCATCAGAAGACTGAACACTTTGTGCTGCAGTCTGTGGACATGGATGTGAGAAAGATCTGTTATGTTGATGCATTTGAAAGCAAGTCATACAATATTTCACTGGATTAGGTTATTAGACCTAGTTTTTGGTGATACTTGATCAAAGTGGAAACTATGTCACTGGTTTGAGTGTATGCCTGCTGCTGTAACCAGAAAATATTTGGTATTTTTACTTAATAGAAATTATTTTTCAATATATGCTGGAGTGCTACCACAGATGAAGGATCAATTGTTTGGGATTCACTGTGGCTCACATTGCATGATACAGTTACAGGGGATCTGTTATAGTAGTAAATCAAATAACATGGATCATGAGCAAATTGTAGATTTTTTAAATCATGAATTTACCTTCAGGTACAGGGTTCAAGCACTCATGGGGTCCCAAGGCGGGGTCTGGGAATCCGTTGCAGGTGATGATGGTGGAGTAGCGGGTAACAGAGGTCTTGGCCACTCGAGGCAGTTTAGGGTCTGAGTGATTGACATAGAAAAGGCCAAATCTCTCTGAAAAGCCAGTGGCCCACTCCAGGTTGTCCATCAGTGACCAAGCTGTGTAGCCACGGATATCCACATTGTCTAGCAAGTAAGCTGTAAGGAGAAAATTAACACCTTTAGTAATACAAATACAAACAAAATTCTTGTTTTATGTTGGTTTGAACATAAAGGTACTGTATCTGTGATACAGCAGCATTACTTTGAACCATCATAATGGATCCAGAGTTACTTTACACAAGATATTATCAAAGTTTTTATAACTTTGGAAAATATTCTCTATTAAAAAGGAAATAGGAATAATGTTGTGGTTTGATACCTTTAAGCACCTGGTTGATGTATTTTTCATAGTAGTAGCTCCTGTGAGTATCATTTAGGTCAATAGGCCCACGCTCTGACATGCCATTTTCTGTGATGATAATAGGTGGATTTCCATATTCCTCCTTAATGAAGTTTAATATCCTCCTGAATCCAAACGGTGAGACCTTCAGCCAAGATGAACCTGAATCCAGCCAGGTACGATCAGCAATTGTTCCTGCACCCCTGAGAAGGTCAAATCAATGAAACGGTTTTCTTTCACAAAATAAAGCACCCAAAGAAGTAGAAACATAATTTTGAGTTTATCATGTGATTATAAATGATTTGCTTCTTCTACTTGGTTACTGTAGGTATGTTTTGTCCTTGCTTACCTATCAGCATCATAGTGCTGAAGCTTTCCATAGTCCACAGGGAATGCCAGAACAGTGGTGTAATGGTTGAACCCAAAATAATCATAGGTACCCTTAATCCTCTTAATCTCCTCAGGAGTGAACTCAGGTAGCCTGGAGGGATTATATTGAACTAATTCATTTTTCTGATAAATGTAAAACAATTTTCCATTATTTATCTTTCAGGCTTTGATGTTTTTATAGTACCGAGATTTTGACAGCCCAGCAGCCAAGCTTCGCTCTCGAATGATTGTCTTCATCATGTTGCTGTAGTCTCCATTAAATACGGGATGGGCAAACCAGCCAATGTAGAACTACACAAGGAGACAGATCTTAACTCCAACTATAGCTCTACATGTCTATTGCAAAATGTGAAAGGAATGAGCAGACAAAAGAAGATTTTGCAAACAGTAAGACACAAATGTATGTCCTGTGTACCTGCACCACACGTTTTGCAGCATCAATGTCTTCCTGCTTATAGGGATTTCTGGGTTCTGACCAGTCAGAGTTGATGGTGATGGAGATAATTCCTTTCTGTTTGGCCCTGTACTTGTCATTATAGAGATGCCAGGCCTCCGCATGAGCTTTAAGCAAGCTGTGACCCACAATGTAGGGCAGAGTGCCTGGTCGAAAACTGATCCCTGGACACATACAAGGAGTGATAGACACATTTTATAGTGTTTTAGCTATATGGTTTTTGTCAATGTGGTTTAGAAAGGTAAAGATTAAGGACCGGTTTACTCAACAATTAGTGAATGACAAAATAATGAATGGAATTGCAATATTATTTTGATAAAATTGAAGAGCATTAGGTAAAAGCATACCTGGTGCAGCTGCTCCATAGCCATGGCCTACATTGGCTACATTGTACGGCTCATTAATGGTGATCCAAAATTTCACTTTGTGGCCAAGACGGCTAAAAATGAGGTCAGCATAATCCCTGAATTTGAAAATGATAGTATCATTCTCCCAGCCCCCAATATCCTGCAGAGCTTGTGGGAGGTCCCAGTGGTAGAGAGTTATCTGAAAGCAAAGGAAAACCAGTTAAGTTTTACCAAATTTACCAAGTTTCCATTGCAAATTGTTTTGAGATGCTGGCAATAATTACACATACATGAGGTTGGATATTTGCAGCAAGCAGTGCATCCACCAGTCTGTGGTAGTAGTTGAGTCCAGCCTCATTAATGTGCTTGGTAGTGCCATCAGGAAGCACCCTCGGCCAGGATATGGAGAAACGGTAATGGGTCACCTTGAGTTGCTTCAATATAGCAACGTCCTCTTCTACTTTATGATAACTGTTGCAGGCTATGTCCCCATTGTCATCGTTGAACACTCGAAGAGGAGTGTGAGCAAACTTATCCCAGATGCTGAGACCTTTTCCATCTGCTCTCCATCCCCCTTCAATCTGTAGATAGTAAATGTAAAACAGAGATTAAAATGGACAAAAACAGAGGGCAAAAGCAATTCCCTGATCCAGCTGTAATGAAGTAGCTTCACAAGGAGTTACCTGGTATGATGCCGTGGCAGTACTCCAAATAAAATCTTTGCGGAAATGTCCATGAAGTTGCTTCTCATCATCTGGTGTAGGGAAACCATTGTCTTTCATAATTTGGTAATAGAAATGAGCTGAGTACTTAGGTGTCCTTGGGCGGTTTGGGTTAGTGAAGTCCACGTGGTGTAACCCAAAACCAACTTTGTACCCATTAAGCCACTCAAAAGAATCCATGAGAGATGTTGCCATGTATCCTTTCACCTTCACACCATCAAGGTCATAGGCTGTTATTAAAACATACAGACAGAAATAAATGATCAACACTAAAAATCATCAAACAGTCATGAAAATCATTAATATTTGTCGTAATAAATGTATTTGTGTGCACCTTTAAAAGCCTCATCAATATAGGTCTTGTAATAAAACACTCTGGCAGAATCATCCCAAGTTGTCTTAATGTCTGTAGCTACTCCATTCTCGGTAATGTAAATCTCTGGATCTCCATACTCCTCTTTGATCCAGTTGAGGAGTCTTCTCAAACCCCATGCTACAGCTCTCTGGTTACTGATTGCAGTAGTTGGTGAATCTCCTTCCTCTGCTACTGACAAGTCCAAGTCGTATTCATAAGATTGAGGAGTAAGCCTCAATGTAGCATGCTGTGCAATCTTTGTAGTATAATGATTTATGCAGAACATGTCAGCTGTTCCCTTAATGAAGTTCTTTTCTTCTTCAGTGAAGGAAGGTAGTCTTGTTTCTGGAAGACCTTGGAGTTCACTTTTGTTTCCAACTTGCCACTTCATTGCATCAGGATAGTCACCATTCTTAAAAATGGGATGTGCAAACCAGCCCAGTTGGAACTGCAGAGCACGGTCGGCAGCCACCACTTCACGGGGAACATTAACATCTTTAGGTTCAATCCAATCAGAATTGAGAGCAATGGATACAAGACCACCTTGCAATTTGCGGTACTTATCATCATATGTGTGGTAAGCCTTGGCGTGTGCTTTTATAAGGTTGTGTGCAACTTTGTATGGTGCAGTTCCTGGATTCTTAACATTTGGTGGGATCTGTCCAAGTCCGTATCCTGACCATGCAATTGTCTGAGGCTGATTGAAAGTCATCCAGAATTTCACTCTGTCTCCGAAGGTGGCAAAGCAAAAGTCACAAAAGTCATTAAAGATGTTTATCATTTCTGCATTGTCCCAGCCTCCAAGGTTTTGCAAAGCTTGAGGGAGGTCCCAGTGGTAAAGTGTCACCATGGGAGTGATGTTATTCGCCTTGAGGCCATCAATGAGTCTATTGTAGTAGTCAACACCTTTCTGGTTCAGAGAGGTACGCCGACCATCAGGAAAGATCCTGGACCAGGACAAAGAGAATCTATATGACTTCACCTTCAGAGCTCGAAGCATGTAGAAGTCTTCTTCAAGTCTGTGGTAGCTGTCACAGGCCACATCTCCATTGGCATTAGCAGGAATACTGCCAGGTTTTTGGGTGAATGTATCCCAGACACTGGGCCCCTTCCCATCAGCATTCCAGCCACCTTCAATCTGGTAAGCCGAAGATGATACTCCCCAACTGAAGCCTTCTGGGAAAGTACCATAGTGGTACACTTTTCTCTGGAATTTTGACTGGTGTGAGAAGGTCTCCCATACGACCTTTGATCTAGACGGAACCTCTGAGGGTGATAAAGTAGTTAGACGGCGGGAGAGTTGCATCTCTGACCCTTTAAAGACACCACCTTTGTGCAAACCAAATCCATTTTGTTTGATAACCTGAGAGTAGAAATATGCAGATTGCTTTGGGGTTCTTGGTCTGTCTGCATCTTCAAAGTTGACATGGTGAAGACCAAATCTTTGGCTGTAGCCTTGTTTTCCCTCAAATCCATCCATGAGTGACTGGACTGTGAATCGCTGCACATGCAATCCATCTAAGAATATTGCTGCAAAATGGACACACAACAGCACATTTAATTCGAAATGATTTAAGCATTGTGTAAAAATTGTGTTTCCTATGAGAGACATTTCAGTAACTAACCTTTCAGGGCCTCATTGATGTAGCTCTTCATGTACTCTATTCGGTGGCTGTCATTGATAGTGTCCCCACTGTACTCAGTAGGCATACCATTTCCAGTGATATGGATTGGCACTTTGGTAACATTCAAGTATTCAGTGGAAATGAAGTTTAGAAGCCTTCGGAGACCCCAAGGTGCAGAATAGATCCAGTCAGAAGCTGTCGAAGACCATGAAGGATCCACATGTGCCTGGAAGTCCCCTACTCCCTGAGGACCAGGGGTGCAGCCACCCTCACTGTTGTTGACCAACCTAGAGGTGTAGTGGTTTAATCCCAAAAAGTCTGCTGTTCCATGTATTCTTTTGCTTTCGTCAGGAGTGAAAACTGGAAGTCTTGCAGGCTCAGAGAGGGGACACTTATTTCTTTTCTGTTCAATCTGAGTCTTGAGTGTTGCAGGATAATCTCCATCCACAAATATGGGATGTGCAAACCAGCCCAGCATGAACTGCAGGTAGCGATCTGCAGCTGCTATATCTTCAGGTCTGGAGGGGTTCATGGGCTCAGCCCAGTCAGAGTTCAATGCAATGCCTACTTTCCCTCCTTGTGTCTTCCTGTACTTGTCATTGTAGACATGCCAGGCTTCAGCATGGGACTTGATCATATTGTGAGTGACCTGCAAATCCAAAATATATGGTTAAGTGAATGTAAACAAATGACAATGAAACAGTATATTTTTATATGATGGTTAAGACTATTGCTCTCACCTGATAGGATGCAACCACATAGTCTTTTATTCCAGGGGCATGCTCACCAGTACCATAGCCCGCATGGCTCACTACCCAGGGGCTACTGAATGTGTTCCAGGTCTTTACTCTGTCTCCAAACCTGGAGAAGCAGAAGTCTGAGTAGTCCTTGAAGGCTTCAACAATAGAAGCATTGGTCCATCCACCATAGTCCTGCAGTGCCTGGGGCAGATCCCAGTGGTAGAGAGTGACAACAGGGTGTATGCCAGACTCTATGAGAGCATTGATCAGCTTGTCATAGTAGAGAGCCCCTTTCTCTGAATGGCTGCCCCGGTGGCCTGAGGGGAAAATACGAGCCCAGGAGATGGAAAATTGGTAGGTGTTGATCTGAAGACCTCGCAAAAGGTAGACATCATAATCCACTTTGTGGTAACTGTCACAGGCTAGATCAGCTGTCTGATTCGCGAAGGCTAGACCGCCATGACCAAAACGGTCCCAGATGGTCTGTCCCTTCCCATCTTCCAACCAGCCTCCCTCAACCTTGAAAGACTCACTGGATGTGGCCCATTGGAAGCCAGAGGGGAATGATTCATTGAGGAAACGATCTCGTTCTGTTGTGGTCTGGGTCCCGAATTTATTCCACACATTCTGATAACTGTTTCTAAATTCTGCAATTCTGTTGTACTCTGAGACACCATGACTATTGAAAAAGATAAATAAAACATTGTAAACATACATGGAACCAACTTTATCAATATATTCACATTCACCAAGACCAACTGTTACCTGGTTAGGATGTCCTGCATTTCCAGCTTACCCAACATGTCCACCGTGTCACATCCCACAATATTCAGGTCATTGTTGTTCAAGACTGTAACGAGTGCAAGATAGATATATATAATATGTAGAAGAAAAAAGATACATTCCTTTTTGATATATAACAAAACTGAGTTGCTGGCAGCTATGTGAGGTTGTAGGCCTACTGAAGAACACAATTGACTTGAGCTAAATACTAATGTCAACATGATAACATGTACAGTGCTAACATGCTGATGCTACGAAGGTATAGTGTTCACCATGTTCACCATTATCATTTAGCATGTTACCATGCTAACATTTGCTAATTAGCAGTGCTAAACACAAAGTACAACTAGGCTGATGGGAATATTTTGAATATTAAAAAAATTATTTTGACCTCATAGTGGTTGAAAATTGCAAGGATCCCCAAAGTTATTACATTTTATTCTAATGGGGACATTAATGTCTGTACCAAAGGTCATGCCAGTGCTTTGAAAAGTTGAAACATAAATGTCAACGGTATGGTGGAGGTTAAGAAAATGTCAGATGATCACCGATGTCAGCAAGACACTGTGGGCGCCATGTTTGTACAACATTTTAAAATTTAAACAATTTAAATGTCAATCCAGGAAATAGTTGTTGAACTTTCTTGGCCAAAGTGGTTGACCCGAAGTTGCCATCCTTTGAGCTATAATGCTAGCCTGGCTAAATAAACGAAAATTGAAAATTGAATTTAGTTCATATATTTGCTTAAAGGGACATTGTGTAGTGTTTGAAGTATTTTATTAGCTAAAATCAATGTCTTCATAAGCAGTAAATGTGTCCTCATTGGTGTAAAATTACCTCTGCCAATGATCTGACTTTCCTCGTAAGCGAAGGATTTATTATCTGTATATACATTGGACGGGCAAGTCCATGGTGGCTTCCATGTCGTTCCGCCATTTTGAAAAACTATAATTGCCGAGAGGGACATAAAGCACTAGCCTACCTGTCGAGCTAATCCACAACGCGTTTTCTTTAAGAGCCAGCGTCACGTGACTGAAACCAGCTATAACGGAGAAGGAGATCAGTGAGAGGCGCTTGTCACTGCCCCGGCACATTTCAAAGTCTGCACTGCACTTTAGTTCATAATGGAGGATCATACTTATGGCGGGCCACAGGAGGAGGAATCCTCGTCGCCAAAAAAGCGAAAAAGGGAATTAAAAAGGCAACGTGAGCGGCAAATTAAAAAAACGAGGGTAAACATCGGGGTAGCTTCTCCCAGGTGGAAAGAGCTAATGAAGGAGAAAGACTTTCAAAGGGACGCTGAAGTTGCCTGCTTTCTCCTCGACAGGTAGGCTTCTTGGTACATAACGGCTACCGTAGTTGCACTACGCATTTGAAAACGCGAGGCACTAGAGAGCACTAATCGTTTGAAGGCAAAATACAATTTCACCGCTAGATGGGAGAAATTCCTACACAATGTCCCTTTAAACAAAAACAACTACACGATTTAGGGATTTGCTTTAAACTACTACTACATTCTTCATCTAACCACTCAACTTTTAAAATAGTCTTTTCACTTGGAATTGGCATTATACAATGTAGATTGCCTGCTAAATACGCTAAGTTGTGTTTTATACATTAACTTGAATGAATAGAAAAACAAGTCCTATGGCTGTGCTGCAGCGTGCATGTCATTTTCCTAGTTAAACTTTAATGGACCATATCAAGAAGAATTCATGCCAATCACAGCCATGTGATAACACCTCCATGATTATTGCATTATAAACATTTACGATATTGCATATAACAGGGAAGCCTTGATGCTCAGTCATAATCTGTTTGGTAATTTTAAACAAAGAAGATTGTAATGGTTTTTAAATACGTGTATGTTTTATGAGAAAAAGATGAGGCAAGAAAAAATCAATTGTAATGATGTTTACCTTGTAGGAAATTGCCAAGGAGCTGGAATTGACTGTCTGAACAACCATCAGTGGTCATCTTGTATATCAGGATAGGCAAATTCCCACTGGACATCTATAACATAACATTAACATGCATGTGGCTACATTTTAATGTCAATACAAAATATGAAACAGTGAAAATACTTTTTACTATTTTTTAATGTTTACTGTACCTTTAAACTGCTCAGCTCCTGTGCAAAGTTTGATGCAGAGGCACAGTCATATACAATGTGCACTGACAAAAAATCCATCTGTTCGAAATAGATAGATACAGGACAGTATGTTATCACACTCATGTCTCTTAATGAAAAACAAACTGCTATTTAAGTTAAGGTCTGCAATAATACACCATTACATAAGACATAAGAGTTTTAATTTTGATCATAGTAAAATCTTACTCTTCTGACAATATTTGGAAAACTTAAACACCATAGCTTTTTTTACTGTAAGTGTCCTTATTATTCTTTCTTTGTCTTTATTTATGGTCATAGGCCAGTAGGATGTTACACCAAGAAACAGCAGGAATTAGAACCACAGCAAGCACCTTGGACAGGCATACTTATATACACACTTATTAGTGTATACTGGTGGTATCCAAACCTTTTGTTGTTGTGTGATGAATGTGTGCAAGAGGGCAGAGACAGACATGGACAACAAGTTGATTACAGACATGTAATCTTTGACCACTTCAGACGATTAAGATAAGGAGAGGCATAAAACATTTGAAAAAGGTGATAATATATTTTGGAGCATGCTAAATTAAATATAGAACATAAGATACCAAAGGGACCTTGCCCAGATAACTATTACTTCTAGGTGGACATCTGTGCAAAGGGGAAATTAAGCAGTAAAGCTACCAATAGGTCAAAAGCATCAGTAAAACAACTGGTGCAATCTGGTCTGACACCTTCATACCTCACAAGTTATACACTGTCAAATAAGTTGAGATCCCTGACCCGCTACCCACTGTGGAAAGTGAGGGACTTTCTATCATCGGTCTCTACATCAAAAAAACATGATGAGCAAAGCAGAAAAGCATCGAAATAGTAGGAACTCTCCATCTGAACAAATGAGGAAGTGCACAATGAATATGATAACCAAAGCAGTAAAAATACTGAAGTTGATTCGATGCTCTAATATGAAAAATGTATAAGTGAGTTGATTCTATGAGATATGTAACATTGATTGAAGTTGATTATTGATTATGATTATAAAAAGAAATAATGTAATAACAAAAAGAGAAATCACATATGAAATTAAATGTATTAAGTGTATGAACTAAGATAGGACAGTAGAAAAAGGGGAACAAAGGGTCAAATCAAGTTGAGAGCTGGGCTACGAGCAAGAAGGCACGTAGGCCGATACATCTTGCGAAGATGAGCACACACAGTGGATACATCTTGTAAAGTTGAGCGCACACACAGGACCGTCTTGTGAGGAGCAAAAGAGGAAGTGGCATGGCCCTGAACCGAACAGCCTAGGGGGATAAAAGGGGCTACACAAGGGGGATCGTGGTTAGTCCTCGACCGGCTCTCGGGTTCAAGACTTGCTGATCGATTGACCACATCAGGGCAACTCATCTTTGAACTTAGAATTTCAACTCAAGAGATAGAGCAACGAACAAGCCACCATCGCAGAAAGAAAAGTCCAACAACCTACAGCCAAGACGGGAGCAGCAGGCAGAGGAAGATTAACCATCTCCACCTGGCTGCAGGTTCCAATTGATCACCAAGGATCACTCTTTCGTTCACCCTGCCATCAGAGACTGCACTGGTCAGAGACTTTGCGGACTTTGGACAAAGTCGGGAGTTTCTACAGTAACCAACAGTACGGCAGGCGCAAGGGAGGACTGTACTGGCCGTACAACCGCATAACCCTTCCCTCTCTCTCTTCAAGCTGGACATTCAACCATTCAGCTACAAGCCTTTTCATCAGGGGTTTGAACTTCAAACAATTACTTACTTAATTTTAGAAACCTAGTTAATCATTATTAGTGAATGTGAACAATCAGTTTTTGAATCAGTTTATGCTGTATGCTGGCCCTTGCTAAATCTTGCAATAAAAATAACCATTGAAGTTAAAGAATAAACTGTGGACATTGGATTTATGATATCTCATCAGGCAGTAATTATTAGGCAGTGTGTTCACCAACTTAACGGTTCTAACAGGTTACTCTAGCCACAGAAATTAAACAGACCCTTGGGGCTTACTGTACAAGCCACTAAAATAATCCTAGCAACTAACAAGTACACAGGTCAATAAGAGGAGAGCTGCCGTTAACGAACGTGACTAACGTGACTTGGCTCTAGGGCTATTCGGTCAGGTGCTGCAGGGTAGGCGTCCGGACGAAGGCAGTTAATTCAATTCAATTCAATTTTATTTGTATAGGTTTTAAAAGGTTTAAAAATCAATCAAATGCTAGTTAAACCACAGAAAGTCTTTGAAATTTAGGATTAGGTGTAAAATTAAAGATAAGTATTTTTCATTGGTCCACTGTAGTTTTAGTGTCTTAAAATGTAAATGAAAAAACACCCATATCCAAATGAGCTAAGTGAGATTTATCATATGTAGCAAAATAAAAAAAGGCTGAGTATAGAGCCTAATAGCAACAGGATCTTAAATATATATAAAGAATGAAAAATAAGGTTAAAAGCTGCAAACACATAAGAGAAAATGCCGCTTACTGTAGTTGAACCTTTGATCTGGGGAAGAATTGCAACATCACTAGCTCTCAACCCAATTGACAGACGTCTCCCTGCGAATATGGAAACATATAAAGGGATTTTTGTAAGGCACACAGTGTAAACTAGGTAACATTTGTATACACACATTACATTTCCACAAGCTGAGGAATATGTGGCAGACTTCAGTTTGTTTTTAGTTAAGCATAAATAGGCTTTTTTCCTAAGATGTTTGGACAAAGCACAGGTATGAATAATAAAGTTAATGATAGCTGAATTCCATTTAGCTGCTTCAGTTTCAGGGTCCTGGTAGGCTGGCTCGCTGTCACATTGTCATGGCTTTACTAGGACAATGTTATTAGTAACACCTGTGCTTTTCCTACAACAAGTCAGAATGTTTGCTATGAAAAAGTCCTACTGGGCACAGCTGTGCAGTGAATAGTGGCTTAGATTATTTTATTGACCTTTCCTGGGTTGATTATTGAGATGGGCATGATACTATACATATAATCTATGCCATAAATCATGGGGTGAAGGCTTTCAAAAAAGATTATCAGTTGGTAATTAAATTATTTCTCATGACACACTGAAAGACAACATATTACTTAATGATTACATGTGGCAGCAAATAATTCTTGTTCTATTTAACTATTGAAACATATTTACAAATGACCAATCCTAAAACAGAAATATGTCAATCAATCACATCTTTACTCCTTATTAGTCTTCCTTACCTCTGCCCGGAAACTGTTGATGGTAGAGCTGGTGAATGTTGTTGTTGACTTTGAGGATATTTTGCAGAGGACTGGGAGCACCTGCAGGCTGCCCATCATGCCGAACATCGTCCAAGTCACTTAGTGTCACCCATAGGTGTGCCAGTGATCCAAACTCCTGGAAGGCGAACTGAGCATACTGCTGAAACATCTTGACCAGCTCCTGGCTCTCCCAGCCTCCATACCTTAATCTCAAAACTTCTGGCACTGTGGATCCATGAAGAACGACCAGAGGCTGAAGGCCCACCTCCAGCAGCTGTTTCAGCAGGGTCTGATAACAGCTAACCACGGCCTGCTGGGGCTCGCTGGAGAGGCCTGTTGGTAGGAGTTGAACCCATGACAGTGGCACGTTGAAGTGGGTCACCCCTCTGCTCTGGAGGTACTCAAAGTATTGTCGAGAGCCTGGAGGTATGGGATGACTGCAGTCAAAGGCATCATTTACTGCATTGCCTGAACCTCTCACCGGCTGCTTTATCAGAGGCCCTGCAACAAGCATAAAGTCCTCCTGTTCATTTACCTCACTGCCCCGGCAACCATCTGTACAAAAAACGTACAGAAAGGCAAACCACAATAGATACTTCATTGTGGCTTGAAAAGGATAGACTGGTATTATCGACTGATAGCCAAGCTTTTATAGCTAGTCTGTTATTATCTTATTGCATCGTCACATAATTAAGATCAATATCACATACAAGCAGTTCAAGCTTCAGTGTTTTATTGGAGTGGTGTGATACAGTCAGAAAGACTCTGGACTCATACAGTCAAGTTATAACTGCATCCCTCTCTTGTACTCATGTTTGAACACCATCAAATATGTAGTCACAACATGCGGCTTTTTGGGAATGTAAATAATAAATTGGTATAAGACGTATAACTACAGGTGCTGAAATGAATCCATTATGATTAACTGCTGACTCCTGCTTTGCAAGTTGTTAAGATAACAATCGTGACCTGCACTAACTTCCCAGATACTGTCCCTGGGTCCCATGAACTAATAAACCATGAACCACTTCATTGTTAACACAGAGGAAATTGTGGTTGTTACTCATTACCTGACATTACGGCTAGAGCAATACCCTTTTAACCATTTATATTGCTTTCTGTTTTATCCCCAAAATTGATAATTGCATCATCTATTACTAACGGAACTCAGGATGAAGGAGCCCAAGCAGTTGTTTAGCTTACCTTTCAATAAAATTCACACAATGGTGGATATACATTATTTTTTGTAATAAAAAATGGCCTTAAAATGACCTGTGTATATAGAGGGTGAAGGTTGTTTTCTATTTTGTTGTAATTGTGTATTATAATCATGCTACATCTTGATTATGTATTTTCCCCTGATGCACCGCTCTTGCAGGTTTAAAAAACAAACAGGCTGTTTATTTAACTTTGTAATATGTATGTCTGTATTGTATCCATATGGTGCAAAAAACACCTTTTTACAGTAATATAAACAATGTTTTTTAAATATTCTGCATAGTTAATAGTTTACAGATTGAGCATCTATAATATATTAAAATTCCACTGCAATTAAATTTTGCGGTCTAAATAACTTTAAAATCTAGATATTTTTCCACACTGTTTGCAATTATAATCCAAGTAAATTCTATACACAACAAAATATGCTTTTTACACTGTTACTGTAAGTTAAACTGTTTAATGGTGTTTGAAATATTAGTTTCAACAAGTATTACATAATATAACCAGTCTCTCTATGGATATTTAATATTAAACTTAATAAACCTCTGTCTGCCTCTATTGAATTTCCTCCTTGACTTCTGACACATATTGTTGTTTTTAACTTGTCATAAATCTCTTTTATCCTCCTGACCTTTAGTATTTTATCAGAAGCATTCAAGGCTACGACCACTTACCAAACACATCATAAAGTATCACAGCAGTGGAAAACTATGGTCTGACAGTTCAAGCTTACAAACAGTGCTATAAAAGGAAGTCATCCAGTGGCTCACTCAGTTCCCCAAACTCAGACAATATGTCGCCATTTGGGAAACTTCTCTGTCTGTGTTTGATTACTGTGTATGGATGCATGTGCCAGAAACATGATGACCGACATCAGGCCATGTTTCTTGCAGGTCCCATGACCAACAAACAGGTGAAGGGCCTGGATGGCAAACCCTATGAAGGAGCAGTGTTGGACACCTTTGACTGCAGTTATCCCATACCTCCAGATTCTCGACAATACTTTGAGTACCTCCAGAGCAGACGGATGACTCACTTCAAAGTGCCACTCTCGTGGGCTCAACTCCTGCCAACAGGCCTCTCCAGCGAGCCCCAGCAGGCTGTGGTTACCTGTTACCAGACTTTGCTGAAAGAGCTGCTGGAGGTGGGCCTTCAGCCTCTGCTCGTCCTTCATGGATCCACATTGCCAGACACTCTGAGGTCAAGGTATGGAGGCTGGGAGAACCAGGAGCTGGTAGAGCTGTTTCAGCAATATGCTGAGTTTGTGTTTGGAGAGTTTGGAGAGCTGGCAGACTCCTGGGTGACACTGAGCAGCTTGGATGAGCTGAGGGATGCTGAGCTGCAAAACATTCTTGATTCACACACCAGTGTCTACCGCCGCTACCACCAGCTATTTCCTAACAGAGGTAGGAGATCAACATTACACTGAATTATGGGCTAGGCTTAGATAACATAATTTGAAAGCTGCAGACTAATGATTTATTGTATAAATCATGTAGCTTTAATCACTGTTTGTCAATCAATGTATTACCTCTTGTACACCTATTTTTCCCTTAAATTTCCCTATTAAGTAGCCTGAATTAAAGAAAAAAACACTCCACACTATATGGTGTACAGGATATATTCTCTGGTTACTCCAGTACATTGATTGATTGATTGATTGATTGATTATATTGTCCACAAAGGAGAAATGTGTTTCCACAGAGGGCATTATCTGTGCCTCCAGAAGAGGTGCAGTAACTATGGCAGTGCTTGTTACAAGCACAAGTGTCTGTTCAACACTTGTGCCAAAGTTTATGATAAGGGAATGGAGTTATGTAGGGGGAAAAAAGGTTGCAGTTGTGAATTAACAAGTTATGTGTTACAGTTGGAGGAATATCTGTTGGTGTAAAGGCAAATAAAGTCCCAATCATCTGTGACACTCAACTACTGGTGAGATCATATATTCCAGCACATTATTTAAAGAATAAATGTAAGGATTGTGTTCCCCAGCAGTATAGCAAATGTTTGTATGAAGAATATGTTTATTTAATGTTGTTTGCACTTGAGAAAAGTAATATACCTTCCATATCCAGCTACACTCACACATTTATCTCTATTTCAGAAATATACAGATTTCCTCTCTATTAAAATTCAATATGACTGCACCACTGGACAGAACCTGGCTGAGGAGCTGCAAAATGTTTTGGTATGTGGAAATGGTCTTCGGCTGTGTGTGTCTGCGCTATCCATTTCTTTCGTAAACCCCCAGCCCGAGTTGGAAAGTGTAAATCTCGCAGCTATCTCGTGATGTCTTCACCGAGACACCCCCCCTTTTGGTCGTAATTTCAGCCGTCCAGCTCGGGGTACCTCACAGTACACTGAGCTAAACGAGGACGAATGTACGACCCGCAAAACAAAGATGCGCCCATATTGAGATGTATTTTCTTTGTATTTGTACTACGTTGGTTGTTTTAATGTTGATTTTAAATGCTCCTACACACTTGTTTACATTGCGGCTTTAGTCCGGTCACCAATTCATGCATTGCACGGTGTTGTTGTGCGTGCAATACAATGTAAAGTTTTGTTTTCGAGCTGGTTTGCTAAATAGGCTAATGTAGCTAACAATAACACTAGCCTGCCACTGCCCCTGGTGGCCCCTGGAGGCCCCTGGTGGCCCCTGGAGGCCCCTGGTGGCTCGAGACAAACACCACAGCACTGGTTGAAATTGAAATAGGCGAAAATGGCAAAATATTATTGAAATGTAAGACTTGCAATAACTGAATTACTTGAAATGTTAGTGTTTCTGTAGAAAAACATTATTATTTCACATTGAGCTTGTTTAGATGAGCCACAAGCACTGCCTTATTCTGGGAATTGTGTTACATGCACTTGTTTTGAACATCAGTGTTTTCTTGTAGGGAAAGTGTGGAGACAAACCCATTCTCTTTTATGAGGTGAACATCATTGACTGTTCTTCTCATAAATTCCTGTCAGACACCAACATTGTGAAAGGTAATCTATATTATCAATAAAGAGTGACTACATTAGAGAAGTGAAATATTATTTCAGATCAATACTTTTACAAAAGACTGCACTTAGCCTAATTTTGTAATGGAAGGACAAATGGCATCGATGATTCAACGATTTAATTGGATAACAATGTAGGATACATGCATTACATGATCCATGACATATATGTTATATTCTTATACATTTACAGCACTGAGCAGTGGAGACCACAATGTTCTTGGATTTGACATGGTAGATATGTTACATCCAGCTGACATTATCCCAGACAGGTATTGTATTGCATACAGACAATGAAAAATTTAATTCACAATATATCATGACCCACTTCTGTGTGCGTGTGTGTATGTGTGTGTTTATGTGTACAGGGCACTTAAAAATATTGAGGAAATTAGGGGATTATAACTGAAAACGTTTGGGAATCACTGTACCAATACAGCATGTGTGAAACCAAATTATATTTTGGCATCTTGGTTCCACCTGTAAACTGTTTGCACCAATATTAGTCTATGCCAAGACATATTTGTTGGATATCTCCTCAAGTTTTGCCATCTAATTTTATTTTCAACATTTTGTTCCTTTTATCTTCAGTCTTCAAACATCATCATGTTCAGTGACCTATTGCAAAACTTGGAGCAATTTTGCCACCATGACCTCATCTGAGCGAGATGCCTTCCTGAATGAATCCTTTCCTGTTGGCTTCCAATGGGCCACATCCAGTGAGTCTTTCAAGGTTGAGGGAGGCTGGTTGGAAGATGGGAAGGGACAGACCATCTGGGACCAATTCGGTCATGATGGTCTAGCCTTCGCCAATCAGACAGCTGATCTAGCCTGTGACAGTTACCACAAGGTGGATTATGATGTCTACCTCCTGCGAGGTGTTAATGTCAACACCTACCAGTTTTCCATCTCCTGGGCTCGTATTTTCCCCTCAGGCCACTGGGGAAGCCAGTCAGAGAAAGGGGCTCTTTACTATGATAAACTGATCAATGCTCTCATAGAGTCTGGCATACACCCTGTTGTCACTCTCTACCATTGGGATCTGCCCCAGGCACTGCAGGACTATGGTGGTTGGACCAATGCTTCCATTGTTGAAGCCTTCAAGGACTACTCAGACTTCTGCTTCTCCAGGTTTGGAGACAGAGTAAAGACCTGGAACACATTCAGTAGCCCCTGGGTGGTGAGCCATGCGGGCTATGGTACTGGTGAGCATGCCCCTGGAATAAAAGACTATGTGGTTGCATCCTATCAGGTGAGAGCAATAGTCTTAACCATCATATAAAAATATACTGTTTCATTGTCATTTGTTTCCATTCACTTAACCATATATTTTGGATTTGCAGGTCACTCACAATATGATCAAGTCCCATGCTGAAGCCTGGCATGTCTACAATGACAAGTACAGGAAGACACAAGGAGGGAAAGTAGGCATTGCATTGAACTCTGACTGGGCTGAGCCCATGAACCCCTCCAGACCTGAAGATATAGCAGCTGCAGATCGCTACCTGCAGTTCATGCTGGGCTGGTTTGCACATCCCATATTTGTGGATGGAGATTATCCTGCAACACTCAAGACTCAGATTGAACAGAAAAGAAATAAGTGTCCCCTCTCTGAGCCTGCAAGACTTCCAGTTTTCACTCCTGAAGAGAGCCGAAGAATACATGGAACAGCAGACTTTTTGGGATTAAACCACTACACCTCTAGGTTGGTCAACAACAGTGAGGGTGGCTGCACCCCTGGTCCTCAGGGAGTAGGGGACTTCCAGGCACATGTGGACCCTTCATGGTCCTCAACAGCTTCTGACTGGATCTATTCTGCACCTTGGGGTCTCCGAAGGCTTCTAAACTTCATTTCCACTGAATACTTGAATGTTACCAAAGTGCCAATCCATATCACTGGGAATGGTATGCCTACTGAGTACAGTGGGGACACTATCAATGACAGCCTTCGGATAGAATACATGAAGAGTTACATCAATGAGGCCCTGAAAGGTATGGTGTTGAAAGTAGTTACTTATTAAATACATTATTAATTTCACATGTATTCATACATCAGATACAGCTTTTGCCCCAAACAATAGAGATTACACAACAAAATTAATCATTTTGTGCTGCCATCCTTTGCACTTGTTCATATTATTGTGGCTATTGTGTAAATACTTTGGTATGCATTTATTTTCTGTAAAATGGGGTATAGTAGCTGAATGTCTTTATTCTCTCAACAGCTATTCATTTTGATGGAGTAAATGTGCAGCGGTTTACTGTCCAGTCACTCATGGATGGCTTTGAAGGCCCACAAGGCTACAGTGAGCGTTTTGGGTTGCATCATGTCAACTTTGACCTGCCTGACAGACCGAGGACTCCAAAGCAGTCTGCCTACTTTTACTCTGAAGTTATTGAGAAAAATGGTTTTGCCTCCAAAACACAGTTCTATTATGTACCAGAATTTAAAAACATAGTCACAGAGTCAAATAAAGTTTCATCAATGCCACCTTCAAAAGTCCCATCCCAAGCCAGCAGTGTTTGGAGAAAATTTTCCAGCCAAACCAACTTTCAGAGAAAACTCTACCACTATGGTACTTTCCCAGAAGGCTTCAGTTGGGGAGTATCATCTTCAGCTTACCAGATTGAAGGTGGCTGGAATGCTGATGGGAAGGGGCCTAGCATCTGGGATACATTCACCCACAAACCTGGCAGTATTCCTGCTAATGCCAATGGAGATGTGGCCTGTGACAGCTACCACAGACTTGAAGAAGACTTCTACATGCTTCGAGCTCTGAAGGTGAAGTCATATAAATTCTCTTTGTCCTGGTCCAGGATCTTTCCTGATGGTCGGCGTACCTCTCTAAACCAGAAAGGTGTTGAATACTACAATAGACTCATTGATGACCTGATGGCGTATAACATCACTCCCATGGTGACACTTTACCACTGGGACCTCCCTCAAGCTTTGCAAAACCTTGGAGGCTGGGACAATGCAGACATGATAAACATCTTTAATGACTTTTGTGACTTTTGCTTTGCCACCTTCGGAGACAGAGTGAAATTCTGGATGACTTTCAATCAGCCTCAGACAATTGCATGGTCAGGATACGGACTTGGACAGATCCCACCAAATGTTAAGAATCCAGGAACTGCACCATACAAAGTGGCACACAACCTTATAAAAGCACACGCCAAGGCTTACCACACATATGATGATAAGTACCGCAAATTGCAAGGTGGTCTAGTATCCATTGCTCTCAATTCTGATTGGATTGAACCTAAAGATGTTAATGTTCCCCGTGAAGTGGTGGCTGCCGACCGTGCTCTGCAGTTCCAACTGGGTTGGTTTGCACATCCCATTTTTAAGAATGGTGACTATCCTGATGCAATGAAGTGGCAAGTTGGAAACAAAAGTGAACTCCAAGGTCTTTCAGAGACAAGACTACCTTCCTTTACTGAAGAAGAAAAGAGCTTCATTAAGGGAACAGCTGACATGTTCTGCATAAATCATTACACTACGAAGATTGCACAGCATGCTACATTGAGGCTTACCCCTCAATCTTATGAATACGACTTGGACGTGTCAGTAGCAGAAGAAGGAGATTCACCAACTACTGCAATCAGTAACCAGAGGGCTGTAGCATGGGGTTTGAGAAGACTCCTCAACTGGATCAAAGAGGAGTATGGAGAACCAGAGATTTACATTACTGAGAATGGAGTAGCTACAGACATTAAGACCACAGTTGATGACATAGACAGAGTATTTTACTACAAAACCTACGTTGATGAGGCTTTAAAGGGTGAGTGTTAGAACATATTGTAGAACATACTGTTTGTTAGATCCCTTCATCTAGCATGCTAAAGCTAAAATCTGTTGGACATTTAAGGTAGTTCTCGTGACAAAGCGTCTGTATATATGTCAACCTGGGATCAGAATAGGTTGGAATTATATAATATGAAACACTGACCAAATAAATATCTATCCTAACATATTTTACACAGCTCATAATCTTGATGGTGTGAAAGTGAAAGGATACATAGCAACATCTCTCATGGATTCTTTTGAGTGGCTCAATGGGTACAAAGTAGGCTTTGGGCTACACCATGTGGACTTCACTAACCCAAATCGGCCAAGGACACCCAAACGCTCTGCTCACTATTATTACCAAGTCATGAAGGACAATGGCTTCCCATTACCAAATGATGAGAAGATACTTTATGGACAGTTTCCCAGAGCGTTTAACTGGAGCAGTGCCAGTTCCGCTTACCAGGTAAGCAAAGTTGACAGATTTATCACACTATACACTATCTACACTATTAACTAATGTATGACTCATGATTTCATGTGTAACAAATTATCAAGTCATCAAGTAATCACTTTACGTGATTAGTTCCAGTTATATAAAACGTTATCTAATCAAACATTTACATAATAAACATAAAAACAGAAATACATATACAGAAATACACTTGAGTGAAACTATGAAACTAAAATCCAACTCATTTTGTCACATAAATTACTGTTTGAAGTAACATCTGTGAATCAACATTCCTTAACTAATTATCTAATAAGTGTGAACTAATTGCATACAGTCATAGTAACTTGATCATCTTAACTATTAAGTATATGATTTGTACTACACACAGAATTTCTGTTATGTTTAGGGTATCTTGCAGCAAAAAGTGTTTACAATGGCTCATACTGTAATACTTGTCGTTCATTTCAGATTGAAGGGAGCTGGAGAGCCCATGGAAAGGGACTGAGTATCTGGGACCTGTTTGCCCACACTCCTTTGAGAGTAGGCAACAGTGACAGCGGCGATATTGGCTGTGATAGTTACAACAAGATTGACGAGGATGTGGAGGTGCTGAAGCAGCTGAAGGTGACCCACTATCGCCTCTCTGTATCCTGGCCCAGAGTGCTTCCTGATGGCACCAACAACCAGATCAATGAAGCTGGATTGAACTACTACCATAGATTACTGGACGCCTTGGAAGCTGCTAATATTCAGCCCCAGGTAGACAGTGTTGTTGTTTGTAACCACCAATGGCTTATTTTTCACTTTAATGGGTTCTAGTTGTAAGATCAAAAACATCAGCATTGCTTAAAATCATTATTGCCAAATTATTGGACAAATGTCCCTTGTAGGAAAAGTAGGTTGTACTGTGGCACAAATTTCCTCTCCTCTGTTTCTCAGCTGACCCTGTACCACTGGGACCTCCCCCTTGCTCTAGAGAAAGTAGGAGGATGGCTGAATGAAACCATCGTCCAACGATTCAGAGATTATGCCGATGTTTTATTCAACCGTTTTGGAAACAGAGTTAAGTTCTGGATCACTCTAAATGAACCCTACATTGTAGCCAATCTTGGCTATGGATATGGGACCTTTGCTCCAGGTGATGAAACAAATTTCTTTAGACATCCTCCCTACCGATTTTAATATCATGGTGTCAAACTTTTTGTTTTTGTATGGATTAGCAATATGTTTCAAAGTTTTAGAAACCCCTCACTTGTGCTTCTTTTTATGCTTAAAACCAATGAAATGTCTGCAGTAAAAAAGAGGCTTCATATACAAAAGTAGTTTTAGAAAGATGAGATTAACAATGTTCTCATGTAAACTGAAAAATAACAAATCTAATCACCTTATTTTATTCAAATCTTTTTATTGTTGATTTATGAGTTTATGGGAGAAACATTTGACAGAATTAGTTATTTTGTGTTGTGCTTAACCAATATTTCATATGCTTTATGGTCTATTGGTTTTAAATGTCCAGTATTTGAAAATGTTAATAACACCTCAACTGTTTCAGGCATTGTGGGCAAGCAGTATATTGCAGCTCACAACCTAATCAAGGCCCATGCTGAGGTCTGGCACCTCTACAATGACAAGTACCGAGCAACGCAGAGTGGCCTCATCTCAATTACCATCAATTCCGATTGGACGGAGCCAAGGAACCCTTATAAGCAGGAGGATTACGATGCAGCCATTCGCTACATGCAGGTATACAAGAGGGGCGGGGGCTTCATGCATCAGGAAAGTTCAGATAGTAGCAAATAAAAGCATGTGAAATAGGTATTGAACTGGATTTGAGTGAAACCTTCTGGGATGCATTATAGTACCCCACAAATCTGGTATCCAAAGCAAATCAACTTAATAATAATCTTACATATATTATTCCTCAGTTCTTCATTGGATGGTTTGCCCATCCCATCTTCAACGGTGATTATCCTGACTTAATGAAAACAATCATCCGTAAAAGAAGCCTTGCTGCAGGTCTCCCTGAATCACGGTCAGTTAATAATATTATTATGTAGACAGACATAAACGTGGTGTTGAAACATCAATCAATAGATGTATTCTGCCATGCTCTCCTTTCACTTACATGACTAGTTTTGTTTATGATTTACGTAGTTTAGTATCGTAAAATGTATTATTATTGTTGTTGTTGTTGTTGTTATTGTTGTTATTAGTAGTGGTATTATTATACCATGACAGAGCAGGTGACTATTAAAGTAGATCTTTCACATTTTTGGTCCTGGATTGGGTTTTTTAAAAGACTCTTCTTCTTCTTCTTCTTCTTCTTCTTCTTCTTCTTCTGCAAATATAGGCTTCCTGAGTTCACTCCTGAGGAAATCAAGAGGATAAAAGGGACTCATGATTACTTTGGCCTCAACCACTACACATCGGTTCTTTCATTCCCAATTGATATGGGAAATCAGCAGGATTATGAAGGTGACAGGTAGGTTGGAATTTAAAGATAAAACCTAGATAGCACGGGTGCCTTTTTTTTCTACCATACAGCACCTGAGAAGAAGATTGGTGACACAGGAGGGAATTAAACCCACAAATAAATGTCATAGTTTGTTCAGCTGCCTGTTAAAATGACTCATTAAGTATATGACTAAAGCCGAGTTAATGTCCAATCCAATTTCCAGGGGCACTGGAGCCACACACGACCGCACCTGGATTGAATCTGGTTCTTTCTGGCTAAAGATTACCCCCTTTGGATTTAGGAAACTCCTAAAGTTTATCAAGGATGAGTATGGAAACCCACCTGTCTATGTCACAGAGAACGGGATCTCAGAACGAGGAGCAGTGGACCTGAATGACATCCACAGAACGCACTACTACGAAAACTACATTAACCAGGCTCTGAAAGGTACCACAGCCAATAAAAACCAAGTATTTGACATTTAATGGACATTTTATTGCTTTTTGGGAAAAGATTGTGGAATTAAATAAAATTTCTCATGGCTTATTTTAAACCTTTTAAATTTACAAATCAATAAGTAATAAATTGTTATTATCCTGGGAAAACTGACCACAACATTACCCTACAGTCTAAGTAGGTCAGTTTTTTGCACATGCATGTTAAATGTTGCCGTTACTGTTGTTCTTTCAGCCCAAGTTCTGGATGGAGTTGATCTGAGAGGCTATACAGCCTGGTCATTAATGGACAACTTTGAGTGGGCTGCTGGCTACTCTGAGCGATTTGGACTTTTCTTTGTGAACCGCTCAAACCCCACCCTTCCTCGCATTGCTAAAAAATCAGCTTCTCGGTACGCCTCCATCATCGCCTGCAACGGTTTCCCTGATCCAGCTCTTGGGCCCCATGAGTGTTTGAACCCTGAACCTGAAGGTAATGTAATGCTTAGTCCACAGATTCAGAAACAATGTAATTATTGTAGGATTTAGGACGGGGAAACTGCCTTGATTTTAATTCCAGAGAGTGTGGAAACTCATTTGCAGAAGCATGCAGATCATACACTATGGAAAAAAAACTACTTTTTTAAACAGATGCTAGATCTGGTCTGAATGCAAAATTAATTATGACTAAATAATTATTTTTTCCTTGTTTCTTATTCCTCTCTTTCAACAGCTACAAGTGCTGCCACTACGACCACACTAGAGAACACACATACTACTGTTCCTATTCTGCCTCTGAACATGGTGGACTTCTTGGGTCTGGAGATTTCACCTAATGATGCTGAAGTTGCACTGTATGTCATATTTGTATTTCTTCTTGTAAGTGTACTTGGTAGCATCTTTGTCGTACACCGGCTCCTAAAAACAAGAGGGAGGTTCAAGGCAGCTGCAGGGGAATCTGTGAAGTTGGAGAGGACGTGAGGAAAGCTTTGAAGAGAAGTGAAAACTCGTATATGTCAGTTGCTGATACATAAATGACTTCCCTCGTAGGAGGATGTAGGATGGATGAAATTTAACATAATTTTCTTTTTAGAATCTTACTACAATATAGTTGTACATTTTAAGGAGCTTTATAACAGCTATGTCATTTTTCATGATTTTCACTGATTGCCACAGGTCCATACAGAAAAAAGTATATTTAGATGAGATATCAGAAAATAATTTGCATTAATGGTTTAAACAACTGTTTGAATGTGGTGTTATGAATTTCAGTTGTTAATTAATAAATGCATTCTGTTTGGTGAAATGAAAAATTTGTATAGTGTGAACAGCAGAATTAATTGTTAATGACAGTTTGCTTCCATGACGTTGTTTGATATAGGAACTTGACACAGACAAAAACTCAAATCACAATTTGCAGTTACACAGTCGCTCCAGTCTCCGTTTTAAACCGTCTCTGTGCCTTTACTTCTTGCCATACAGAGATAAATCTGTAAATATTGGATTGGGGTGTGTCACCTGATTTTTCAATGTAATGTTGTGATCATTGCTACTTCAGTATTTTGAGAAATAAAGACTACACCTGCAAGGTTTTCAGACACCTGTGTCACTGTCAATAAACGTCCTCTGGATGGCGCCAGTAAACCATTTTCTATGTAGACACTGGATGTGAGGCTGTTGTCGGTACAGTGCAGTTTCACATGTTAAACATCAATATTTAACTGAACTAAAGCAAAGGTTAAAGAAGGGTATGAAATGAAATAGGTAAATCAAGAAAACAAATTAGGGATCGTGCTATTTAACAAGGCGTACACTCACTTTGAGCAACACAGTGTTTTCCATACATACATTTAGCTCTTTTACTACCATTTGGATCAAAACAACTGCAATCAAGGTACTGATGAGGATGAAACCTTTAATTGTAGGGTTAACTGAGCTCTGACACTTCAACTTGCTTCATGCTGATGCAATGCTTACAGAATTCCCAATGGGACTAATAAAGCACTGTATTTATCCATTTGATAGCCTGCAGGTATACGTCATCAGTCTTAAACTACTGGGCAGTAGCTCCACTGAGATAGTTTTGAATGCCTTGCTTGACGTCATCTCAATATGAGTTTTAAGGAGGGGTAGGGGTATTTTCTTCTACCTTATTCATCTTTTCCCACTACCATCCTATATGGGTTGGAGATTTAAACCATCGACTCTCAGAACACAGTCCCACACCTGTAGGCTGCCACTCCAATAAACTCTGTCTAGAAAACCATCACAGCCTAGAGGAGCCAGTCAGACATGCCCCTGCATGTTTTCTCCAACTCAATAACATGATACACACAAACAGTTCTTCCCTGACAAGGGGCTCGCAGGGCAAATACGCATCTTCCCTGCACTCCTGCTAGGATAACTACGTCTGGTCTCCAGGGCGACCCGCCTTCTCAACAGGATGTACGCATTAACTAACGGTGGGTGTCTGTTCTGCATGCTCTCCCCTGCTTGCTCCTCAGCAGCTCTGATCAACAAGGGGTCTGTTCAATATCTGAAACCCCAGAGTTTGTCAGGATGCGGTATCAGTCAGACTGGAAGAAAAGACGTTTGTTCATAGTTTCATAGAATGTTTTTAGGTCAGCTTGATTAACTTGCATAAAAGTTTGATGACTTATTTATGTATGAGTAACTGCCAATCTGTGGGTTATACACACTCATAGAACACAGATACTTTAAAGACTAAGGAATTAGAACTCTTATAATAAATTTAAGTAATTGCAAACAGTATGTGCAGTAAATAAAACATGACTGCATGCAGAGTATCAACTTGGTATTTCAGTCATTAAAATACAGTGTTAGCAGCAGAAGCAGTGAGTGTTTGCACAATAATACATGACAATACATTAACAACAATAGTCTGACAATACAGGCTATTGTTTATTACACAATGTGTTGCACACAATCCTCCACATTCATTTTTGAAATGGCAAAATACTTTTTTTATTTTTTTTTTTACAAAGGAACATCTGTCATATTTGTACAGTTAATTATAGTTTGATTTCATTGTTAAAGTTAATAGTCAACCATTAAGTGGAAAATAACTTAAGAGCTGAATGCCTTCCGAGTCAAAATAGTAAGTAGCTCATATCTTTTGAATTTGCTCAAATAAATGTGACAACAAAGCACAATATTTAATTAAATGTGTCCATAATAGAGAACACATTGTTATAGATTGCTCTACCACCACCAGTATGTACCCAAGTATGTTTATGTGAATTATTTTCACCAGTATCTTTGAACAGATAAAACTATGGTGCACTCATGACCTCTTGCTGAAAACAAGTAATTTACATGTAATTTAAATGTCATCTTATATCACAATAGATATTACGCCTTTGGTCCCTGAAGACCCTTGTTCCTCATCTGTGTCCATGACAACCTCATATGCACAGACAAACAAACATAAGCAATGTACTACACACCTGCTGCTCTGCACAACCTCTCCTGCATGCCGCGTGTGGTATTGGCACAAAGATGAGATTTGATGTTCTGCTTTTAATCAAAGGCTTGCTGGGTGGAAGTCTCCCGTTTGTGTCATGGAGGCAGAGTGATGGTGATTGCAAACTGCTGCATGCCATCTTTGCTCCCTGGTAGGCCCTCTGCTTATATGGGCCCAAGATATAACAGTTACTCTAGTCAAGGGTTTTTTCCAAGCAAAGCAAAATAGTTAGAACTTTGTCAGCTTCTTGCTATACATGTGTGACTGATACTTATATTTTATATTTAGATTTGGACCTTTTTTCTGATATTCTAATCCAGTCTGACGTACAATGAGTGCTTAAATTTCACTTTACAAAAGCAAAAGCCATTTTTTTGAGAGAGGTGTGTTTTCCACTCTTCCTCTCATTCCAGGAAAGAGGCTGAGATCTTCCTTGTTGAAATACTAGACCAGCAAAACATTATTGTTAAAGAATCATGTGGGATGGGACGTTGGAATTGGAGCCTCCCAAAATGGAGGGGGAATATTTTCATTCCAATAATAGCAATGTGATACTTTAAAAATGTTTCCATCTGAGCCAAGGCTGTTGGAGCCAGCACCTTCTGCAACACAGATCTTAAAGTTATACCGGGTTTCATTCTTTAAAAGTACAATTATAGTAAAATACAGGAATAGAAAATAATCACAAAACTTCTGAACATAACACAAAAGACAATGTCAATCATTTCTGTGACTCAAAACATAAACAAAACCTGTCACCGGGTGATTGTGTTTCAGCAGCTCCACAATTAAATTTTGACTTTAAAAGTGCAGCAGAGTTACGCACAATTTAAGGCTTTGTAATCAAGGTGGCACTACGGGTATGACTGCAACCAATGAGCTGCATTGGAAAATTTAAGTTGTAACAAAAAGTAAAACAAACTATTCACAAACATGCCATCTGTAAAGAATTAAACTAATAAAGGGTTGTTGGGTGTTGTTGTGTCTGCTTCCGTGGCAACCTTAGATGTGGAAATCCAGGTTGGTGAACATGTTGCTGTGTGTTACTTTTACGAGTCAAATTAGTGAAGCACATGCCCTCTCTCTCTCTCTCTCTCTCTCTCTCTCTCTCTCTGTCTGTCTCTCTCTCTCTCTCTCTCTCTCTCTCTCTCTCTCTCTCTCTCTCACACACACACACACACACACACACACACACACACACACCTGTTAAAAGAAACTGAGTTGCTACCTTGCAATGCATTTAAAAAAAAAGCTAGACTAATAAATAATAAAGCTGATAAAGATTATTTTTTGACAAATGTCCCTAATTCAAACTGGGGATGTTGTGGGAATATTGAATCTGTCTTAACAACTTTACCACTGGATGTCCCAACAATTAAAACAAATAAAAAAATGTAAACCTGCAATAATTGATTATTTGGGCGAAGTGGAAATAAGTTGAACTTGTTAGAAAACAGTTGCTTATTTACACATCCAGCAGTTTTGGAGCAACATAATCATTCATTTACAGTCTTAGGAAAAAAAGTACTCCCCTTTGTTCACCAGCTAGTTGCTAACTCTGCTGATAGCAGGTTGTGTATCGTAGGTTTTTAGGGCTTCTTTTTTATGAAAACAGCTGCGTGCTGTGGCCTTAACACTATAACAGTGGTAAGATTGAGCCAAAAGAAGTAAAGACAAAGGCAGTTAAACAATGAGCTGAACTCAGTTGATAACTCTCTGTAGATGTATCCCTATGAGCAACACTTTCACATTCCTTTGACATTGTCAATTGATACAATGTTATTATAAAAAATACCGATTATAGATGCTTGAAGGCCTCCGTACTAAAAATGTTGCTTATATTATCTGAATATCTTTAAGAAGAAGAAGAACTATCCTGAAAAGGGAGATTTCATTTCTTCACTCCATTTTTCAGTTTACACTCACATAGGCCTAAAATACAGACATGCACACCCATAGACATGCAAATGAGGGGAGAGAGAGTGGTGTGACTGCCACATGGTCTCACCTTAAAGTCCAGTTTTAGAACTGAGTTTACTGTAAAAAAAAATTATTTAAAAAAAATCCATGATAGATGTGCTAGTTTAGAAGACGGCCTCACTGATAGTACGGATAAAATTAATTAGATATGCCCTAAGAAAATAGAACACCTTTGGCTTAGGATGTAAAAACATCTGCCACCCAGATGTGAACTGTTTGGCTACTAAATCAAACTGGAAAAAGTATGCACACATCAACACTTCTTAACTCAGGCCTGATGTCAAACTACTAAAGACAAGCTTTAGTTTGGATAAGGAAATAAAATACACATCAGGTAACAGGCTGGTATTACATTTTAACTGTACAGCACTTGTTTTAAAGCCAGTTAGAGAGCACTGCTGTGCTAGAAGTAAAATCTCCTGAGGGAATCCCGCTAACCCCGTTTGAAAACACCCTATGTTTTTATTGAGATCATTATCACAAATATTGCCTTTGACAGAATCAATTTCCTTGTTTTGTGCTCTGTGGTGCCATATCGGCTAAATGTTGCATTCTTTCTTCGCGATTCCCACTTCACAGGTCCCTGCACGAAATAAAGCAGGAATGGAAACTGGAGCAGGAAATTGAAAAGAGGGGTCCTGTTGTGTTGTGGAGACCGCTGTGCCTACTGCTATTTCCTCTGAACATGCCAGTCTCATACACTCACCAGATGCATGTGTGCCCTTTCTAATAATCCTCACAGTCCTTGAGGGGAAAATTCTGGTCAGACACGTGATGCAATATTACCCCTGTTTCAGAGATGGATACATTTTTATTGTTAGGGCACTGTAGTACGCCATTTGGCATCCTCAGTCCGTCTTGGCTCATTCTTCATGCAACCTGGTTGGCTGTACCACTTCAAAGGACATGCGACATAGCACACAACAGCTGGCAATACAGCTTGGTGAGTCTCTGTGGCTTACAGGCTGCTCACCAATGTGCCAAAGTCAATTTAGAGTCCCTGCAGATAATAACACTTAATTTTCAGAGGTGAAAAGAGAAATATGAGTCACCACAGTCTGATTTTGTTACTCCAGTCTTTCTGTTGTAATTTGTATTTTTTCTCCGCATTAGTTTATATTATTTAGTATACAG